TACTGATGCTATAGTATACCTTCATAAACACTATAAACCCTACACACTACAAACCTTGAAACCACAAAACACCCTAAACATGATACAACCCCTAAACCCTGAACCCTAAACCCTCCAACCCTGTTCGGCCCGGCTTCCTGCCTGCGCATCGCATCGCCTCGAGCGCCTCTAAGGCCTCGTTGCTGCCGGCCCTGCGAAGCCTCAGCGCGCAAAGGTTCAACTAGAATCATTTAGGGTTAGGGTTTAGGGTTTAGGGTTTAGGGTTTAGGGTTTAGGGTTTAGGGTTTAGGGTTTAGGGTTTAGGGTTAGGGTTTAGGGTTTAGGGTTTAGGGCTTAGGGTTTAGGGTTGAATTATACGTATTGCCCATAGGCCCCTTAGTAGTTCCTTTTTGGGATTACCTAATAGGATCCGAAATAGAAGCCACGAAAAGGAACTACTACAGTGCCTACGGGTGGTGTTAGTATTGCTAGTGTTTCCACAACTAGCATCATTCGTATGAGTTGAGCATTAGTGTTAGTAATTCGAGGGTTTCCACAGGTATTGTTAGTAGAAATTCAACTAGGTTGGCCCCTTGAAGCAGTTGAAACATATTCCTAAAACAGGTGATTTTAGTCCTCAAGGCCTACCTGGTCAATTTCAAGTGCAGAAGAAAGACACCCAGAGAGACAGAGAAAGAGAGCGGGAAAGAGGGATGTATACACATGTGTCGTATACATACACGGTGCTTCATTTGATTCATTTTTCTGTCATAGCCGTACACGCAGCTATGTAGGTGAGCGGTCATCTCGTCGAGCCCATGAAACCCCTGCGGTTACAACCCAAGGGCTCCAACAGGGGAGGGGGGTACACCGAGGAGCAACAACGGTGCAACCTGCTCGGGCAGTCAAATCTGCACGGAGGTCTTGGATAGAGGTATCCGCATGTGGAGACGAAGAGGCCCGCTGCAATTTTGCATCGGGTTTGACGTGTATACAGGTTTGTGAAGATGGGCTGCTCCTCGAGTCAGCCACGACTTTCAGCACAGCCTGGGGGGTCCCACACCCTTTCCAACACCCGCCCAGCCACGAAAGCCAAGCACTGGGCGCCCAGGATGTGCATACATAATTTACATAAGCATATACGCAAGCAACATTTCGCAGGCTCAAGCAAAACCCGATGCAAATCCTCTGCACAATGATGTCTGAGCGACCTGCACAATCTCAGCACTCTCCCGAAACCAACCCTAAACCCTATAAAACCAAACCCCTAAACTTAGGCCCTAAACCCTAAAACAGCCCACGCAGGCGCTCCAAAATCAACCAGCTCTGGCACCTTTGGAATTGCTCCCTCCGCTCGAAAGCAAAATGCAATCCTCACTCACCACGTACGAACTCCTGCTGCGATCGTCCTATTCAGAATCCCTACAGCAGGAGTACATTCCTACAGAAGTCGCAAAGCGCATCAGCGCTCAGGACAGCGCCATGCAGTCGCGGCTTTCGGCTGGTAGCGCCATTCCTGCAAGCTTTTGTGGAGTCTGCCACGAGACGCGTTGAACAACGGAACGATTCGTTGCATCACAAGCACGGCATTCAGTAACACTCAGCATCATGATGGTTGTATTTATTGTATTTCCGATTACGGACGAGACTTCGCGTATGCATCGCATCGTGGGCAGATTCGCCCTGCAAACCACCTGAGTGTGTGCGTTGTGTTGGTGAGGTACCGCTTGCGGACACCTCTAGCGGAATTCATGAGGCTTCCTTCCTACGTGTACCCAGTGCCCCAGCAAGATACGGACTGCAAGCATGCCTAGTTACATGCTTGCAGGTTGCATTATGACATTACATATAGGATCAGAAGCTGATATTCCTGTACAACTGTGTACCCGGAGATTCGTGTTTGCATGTGTCGTCCTTTGGCATCACTAATTTCTAGTTTGCCTATCTCACTCCAAGAGACAACAGCACAACAGCCTCAAACTGCAACATGCAGATTTGACAAGAGTCCTCCACGAGCTCGCAGATGGATTCTGGGCCCTGACGTGGTGGAGACACTTCACGACTCTAGCCTCTTGCAGCCAAGCCCCAACCACACATGCAAGGGAACGCAAGGCCTGTGCCCTGAAACACCCTGTCACTTCAGACATGCCTTAAACCCTAAACCCTAAACCTTGAACCCTAAAAAGCCCTCAACCCTTAAAGTCAAAAACCCTCAAAGCCTGAACCCACTCTCTCCAGACCTGAACTGTCTGAATCCGAACCTCTCCAGTGCCGCAGAGCCCTTCAGGAAGGAAAGGATGCAGCGAGTGTGCTTGCGGTTTCGGCTTAGGGACGGTTTGGGGCACGTGTTAGGCTGGGCGACAAGAAAAGGATGAGCTGCGACAAAGTCTTCTTGCACAACGTTGCGACATATAGCGGAGTATTCCGATCTGCTGTATCAAGGTAGAGCGATGCACAAGGCATAGGCATGCAGAGACTCATGCATGCTTGCCTAAAGTTTTGTCTACATGTGTACACACACATATACATAACAAATATACACATCCATTCGCATCTATGTAGGCGTCCTTTATCTATATGCTCATATGCATTTGTCTGTCCGTATCTCGATCTGTCTGCCTGTCTGTCCATCTATCTGTTTATCCTCCTATATATGGGCCTATTAAATCTAATCGAAACAATCTAACCTTTCAATCTATCAGTTTTGTCTATCTATCTATCTATCTGTCTGTCTACCTATCTATCTGTCCACCTACCTATGTATCTATCTACCGATCTATCTATCTATCAACGTATCCGTCTATTTATTTATCTATCTATCTATCTGTCT